CTTACTGTCATTTTTACAGGTTCAGCTCAATGTAAGCTCCTTCCTGCAACAGTTTCATCTGGGAATATTCTATTCCCTCATAAAGCTCAAGGAGCAAGAAATGCGAAATATAGTTTGGATGGCAGAGTGCGTATCACAAAAGCATCGTGCCAAAATAGATTCTTATATACCGATTCTTTGACAAAATGGTCTCCAAAAACTGCCCACGAATCTAAACGCATAATATATTTTTAACTGTCGATCTTTCACTTAATGTTACTTTGTCTTGCTGATTTTTCATCGCCCATTTCATTGAACGCAGTAGAATAATGTTAAGTAATCGCTTATTTGATCACTACATATTTATCATTCCCCCAAATGACTTTCATGTACTGCGCATGTATATTTCGGCTTGTTATCTGTTAGTCGCCGCATTCCATTTATTTATCACAACCTAATAAATTGTTTTATAAACATTAAATTTTATTTTGAGTTTTGAGCGCTAAAATGAGGATTGTGGAACTTATTTTGGCCTCCGAGACTTGCCTGACTGACAGTACCTAAACCTGGCATCTGGAATTTTCGGCCTGGGCTGAGACCAGATATTTTCAAAATTCTCTAATTATCTTATACCTGACTTTAGTTCACTCCTCATTGGTGTCCCTTAACTTTTGTGCCAGAAGGTGCGCTTCCCTGGCTCATTGCATTTTGTTACTATTTGTATGCTGACGGACCAAGATCCTTCACGTTATTTCGAAATCTTCGAATCATTTCCCGATAATACCCATCCCAACAGAGAAAAAAGGCTCTAGCCCTGGGAGCCGTGAATATGGGTAAATGCTTAACTGGTTCATATGCCAAGGGACGCGAGGAGAAAAACCCGTCTTCGGAGGCGACCGGGACACCCGGACTGAGAACTGCTCAGCTGCGCTCTAGCGGACTATCTGCGCCGGATGGGCCTTCGATGATTAAGGTGCCTAATTATAATATTAGATTCAGCATAGACTTTACCTGAAGACTTTCTCAACCTGAGTTCTCGATAAGGATATACCGATAGCATCGAAGCTTACAAATCACGAGTAGTGGTGACGCTCTTGGTGCAGATGACTCGTTCAGATACCCTGCGAACTAACGGAATTAATGCGAATTCGGGTCTGCAAAACAGTCGACAAGTGAAGCCTCTCAGGGGGCAAAGCTATATGAAATTCACTGGCACCATGAGGCTTTTATTTTATGTGAAATGTGAATACCAGACGACCTAAAGCGGTTAAGGTCATGTCCCAAAAAGACACACTCGAAGGTGTAATGAAGTTCCACAAAACAGCAAGCTAGTAGCCTAGGAAAACTAGGACAGCTTGCCAAAAGTAATACTAGCAACTGGGGATGACTATTCATCTCATATAAATGATTGCTGATAAAAGCACGATCAGACAAATTACAAAGTTTTAGAGCGGAGGAAATTCTTTTTTTTAAATAATCATGGCAGGCACAAAGGGACTTGAGGCCAAAGTGGAGCATCGCGACACTCACTTGCGTATTCACAATAATAATTTAGAGAATAGATACAGTCAGAAATCTGTTTAGCAAGCTCTGAAGAATGACTCGTTGAATCACTTTGAGAATGAAGCAATGGCTTTGGAGGCAGAGGCAAAATATCCTTGCTAATACAGGATGTGGACTTGTCCTTCTCTCTAGCCTCTCTATGCCTGTAGGTTTGAATCATAAAGTTGAGTAAATCTGGATTAATGTCAATTTCTTCCTCATCAGAGTTGTGTTCAGGCAAATCAGAACCTCCGATATTATCTTCGGTTGTAGATTCATTGTGGAAATAAAACGAATTATAATAGTCAATAACCCATCGAGGGAGAGACCTTTCAAGTTCTCTAATATGTGAGGCTACTTCATTGTAGGCTTTGCGAAAATATTCTTGTTTGTTATATAGCTCTAAAGCTCTGGCCTTGGACAAATTAATCGCGTTTTCAAAGAAAGAAGAAGATAATGACGACATGGTGAGAACGGTGTATTGATGTGTATATCTGAAAAGTGATAAAATACATTATTCTAGCTTATAAAATGAGGATTCGTATTGATCAAATCCGTTTTGTGGTCTGCTATATTCGGAGCCAGCTCATAGGTAGTAATGACAACCTCCTGCCTAACAAAATCAGAGAACTGCCCACGTAGCCCAATATAATTTATTCTAGTACTCGCTGAACCGAAATTTTCCTTAATGTGTATGGAAAGATGATGGACGTTGGAAAACTTTGACATTTTAAGTGGATAGATCAGACTACCATCTCGGTCAATATTTAATGATAACAACTGATCGCCGGCACCCTATTTTAGCATATAATCCACTTTATCAACCAATACTCACGTCTGTGTCAGAAAAAGCCATGAAAGGCTTGTTTCTATACAGCACTGCAGTTTTGGGGTGCTGTTCAGAATCATCGCCAGCGATGATAACACCTCTTAGTTTAATATTTCCAGTGAAAGGTATATTGAATAATAGCTCTTCATCGGCGTCACTCTCGACGAAAGGCACTCGGATTTTCCTATCCTTTTAAAACAAAATGCACCTAAGGTCAAACTACTTCATATGGTTTAAAAACTTTCGCTCCAGAGCGCGGCTCTGCTTCATTCAAGCAACTTAAATTCAGCAAATCAATGTGTTTGTATATACTAAATGCTGTGGATAAGTCTTCGGATTCATGGTCGCATTGACACCCATGAGAGTGATCACACATGGTAAACCAAGCAAGTAAGAGTTACCTGAGGATAGTAAGAAAAGCCCGCCGGGCCGCAGCAATCGGACAATTAGCTCATTAGTAAAACCTGGATTGCATTATGGAGTAACGTATAAACATTAAATAAGAGAACTATGGCAAAAATTTCACATAAATCCTTTTTTAACACAAACATTTTCGTAACATAAAGGATATATGCACGCAGGCATTTTGAATAATATCGTTACGACAAATTTCTTGTTTCATACTTGTTGAGCTCACATCTATTTCAAGTGAAAGTGTTTGGTGAAGAGATTTGAAGGTTAATCCCACCAGAAAAGACGGCGGATTCCTTTCGACTATCTATCGGTTGGTTTTATTGAACATTCTTGTCAACGCTGTTTTCGAAGTTTCTTGATTCGCCGGCTTGCACATGGTTGTAAAGATGATACCCTGCCCTAATGATATTTATTCAGCATGTTTTCCCTGGAATCGAAGGAGATAGTCTAGGAAACAAGAATGCTCCAGTAAAGCCAATCGAAAGCTGATCAAGAGGAATAATTTGTCGTCTTGTGACGCTATCAATCTTCAAATTTGATCAGCAAGCACTTTTGCTCAAAAGTCCTAAGAACATACCTGAATTCACACAATATTCTATTAGAAAGTTTATGGGGAATTTTTCGAG